TGTCATCTCTTCTCAGTGTCTCCATCTGGGAACCAGAGTCTGAGGATCCTGTGTTCCCTGACAGTGGAGGTGGAGGACAATAGTTCTTCCTGCGATAGCACATCCCTGGGCTCCTGCAGACTGAGGCGGGCACAACTGTGTTGAGAGTACAGCTTTCCCAGAGGGGCATCTTGTATGAAAAATGTGTTTCCATGCAGAATGTCGTGGTGGCCGATGGGAGGCAGTTGTGGGGGGCTGATGTGGCACGGCCACCCACATCCCATCACACTGTAGTTGCCACTCCCACCCAAGCGCAAAGCCACCCTCACCTCCCACATAGATGAGAGTTGAGAGGAAGCATCAGGCACAGGGATGCGGGGAATACCTGAGTGGCAGGATCTGTATGTGTCTGTGTGTGTTCCACATGTGTGCAGCACCTAAGGAGGCCAGGAGAGGGCATCACATACCCTGAAACTGGAGCTATGGATGGTTGTGAGGCACCCACACGGGTGCTGGGAGCTGAACTCAGGTTCTTTGGAAGGACACAGGCGCTCTTAACCACTTAGCAGTGTCTCCAGCCCTTGACTCCCACAATTAAGAGAGACAGTTTTGGCTTGATTTAGAAGCAAGAGACCCCAGTTAGGAGGTGAGAAATGATGGCAGTTAGAATAGGGTGACAGGGGTCAGAGTCACAGATGGTCACAGGTGGGGCACAGTTTGTCTGATGGAATATATACAAGGGTTAAAGAGGAGAGGAGACAAAAAATGACTGCTTGATATTTGAGTGAACTTGAGTGAAGCCCAAGAAAAGAGAAGGGAGAGGCATGGGTGATGGTACCAGACGAAGTCCGAGATCCCATCAGACGGCTTAGTGAGATGAAGAAGTCACGCATGGGACTTGGAATGAGGAAAGAAGTCCAACCTGGAGGTCACGCCTGAGATTCGTTATATCAGAGAGGCACTTGTGGGCTTTGGAACAGTCTGGGCTGGCTTCTCTGAGAATGGCCCCCATAGGCTCATTTATTTGAATGCTTGTTCTGAAGTTGGTGGAACTGTTTGGGAAGAACTGGGAGGCGTGGCCTTGTTGGAGGAGGCATGTCACTGAGGGTAGGCTTTGAGGTTTTAAAGGCCTGTGCCATTCCTAATTAGCCTCTGTCTCTGCCTTGAGGTTATTGTCTCCACATGTAAGCTCTTAGCTACCGCTCCAGAGCCATGCCTGCTGCCGTGCTCACCATCATCATGATCAGAGACCCTACTACCCTCAGGAACCACAAACCCCGTATTAAATGCTTTCATTTATAAGTTGCCTTGGTCATTGTCTCTCTTCACAGCAATAGAAAAGTCACTAAGACAGATGAAAGCATGAACAAAAATAGACACATTTGTAATACGCTAGGGACTGAGACGAACACTGCTTACATGATAAGGAAACTGAGGCACAGAGTGAGTCATCGTTATTCCCTATTGAGGAGTCATTGTTGCCGGGGTTCTGGTGATGCTAGGCTGAGATTTTATGACCTTATTCCTTAGCACAGTCAACAGCTGGCTATATGACAGGAATCACAACGGCCATGAACTCTGGGGACATGGTTCAAATCCAGAGTCTGCTCTTTGTCAGTTGCTTTGCTTGTGGAGAACAGATGCACTGATTTCTCAGGACGTCTTTGGGCAGTATTTCTCCATGCCTTCTGCCTTTGCTCTGCTATTTTTTCTCCAGCTTCCATGCCACTCCTGCCAGCCTAACCTTTTCTAGCCAACTCTCATTTCCTGGCAGTGCCAGGCTGATTATTTCTAATTGTCTTTGACTGCTTCCAGCTGGGTCTTGTAGCTGGTGTACTGTGGGAACATACAAACAGTCTCCCAGCCATATGGAAGGAGGAAAAGGAGAAAAGGAAGAGCAGGAAGGAAGCAGCTGGCACAAGTCAACCGAAACAGCTTCTCCAGGCTCGCCTGGGCGCTTGCAAATGATGATGTTTTGAAAGGGTTAACTCTACCAAGCTTGAGAATGGCCTCTCTTTGATAAATGATTAAATCTGTCGATTCCCCCACAGGCAGCAATGTAACAATTAATAACTTAGAAAGTCATTTGTAGGCTCTAACTGAGGGCAGACAGGGTCTTGATTTCAAGCAAGACATTGTCACTGGGACATTCAGCGGCTGATTGCTTTCACTCGCTTGGTCGACAAATACTTCTTAGATAAGTCTGTGGCTCAGATACAGTGCTGGGTACTGTAGGGCACAATGCCAACCAAACAGACACAGCGCCTGCCCACTGGTTCTAAAGAAGAAAGACACAGTAAGCAGTATGGAGGGCAGAAGATGGATGTGAGGCTGAGTGCTACCAGCGAGAACAGAGGGTTCATCAGCTTACGGCAGTTCATTGGTTGGGAAGGGGACACCTAGGCGGGTGAAAATGGGCCAGAAGCAGCAGTTTGGAAGTAAGTGTGGAATAAGTGAAAGTGTGGAGCTAGGAAAGCCAAGCCTGGACAAAGACAGTTAACGTGTCTAAAAACTATTTTATTTTAAATCATCTGTGTGTGTGTGCACACGTATGTATGTTTGTGCATGCGCCCATGCACCTGAACTCGAGGTTAGAGGAGGGCGTCGGATCTCCCGGAGCTGGAGTTACGGTGGTTGTCAGCAGACCAATGCGCGTGCTGGGAACTGAACCCTGGTCCTGTGGAAGAGCGTGGAGCCGTCTCCCTAGTCCAATGACGGCTAACCTAGAGGAGTGACAGATACCTAGAGGAGCCTACAAGCCTGGGGGGTTTGTAGAGGCTCTTCAATGACAGGTCCACAGCCAGACACTTCCAGAGTGCCCAGCGTGAAGGTGACACGTGTCTTGCGTGCTTATTTGTCTTCAGAAATGAAGTGTCTGGAGCCATTCCTTACTGAGCAAGGCCACTTCAGGCAGCAGGAGCTGCAGCTCAGAAACCAGTCACTGAGCCCCGGCAGGGACACGGAGGTCTCTTTGGCATCCACCGCAGCCAATAGAGTTAGCCGTGAGTGTGGATCAGACTGAGACAGCAGGCTTGAAGATTTAATGAGCCTCTATTTTCTCCCTTCTTCACCCCTTTCCTGACTTCTACCCTGGGAGGGTATAATCAAAGTACAAAAAGGAAAGAAAGTTTTTATTTCATCACAAGTGACTTCCACCTCTCGTGAAGTCCAATCCTCAAAAATGAGCACTCTCTGGGATCTGCCTTAAATTGCAACAAACCTCTAAATTTTCACAAAGAGCTTATTTTCTATAATTAAATCAATGGAACACGGGGAAACATTAAATCCTTTCCTGATGAAAGATTCACCCCAAAGTGGGCTCCATTCTCCCCTCCCTCTCCCCCTACCCTCCTCCTGTCTTCCTAAAATTCAATTACTGAACTAGAAACGCGAAAGCGATTGGATGAGCCCGCTAAGAAGTCCCTTCAGCACAGCAAGGAAGCCGTGGAAGGCTTGGGTCTTTAAGGTGGGAAATCCGGGGCGACTAGACCCCAGCCCAACTTACAGCGAGTGCGTGGCCCAAAACAACAGACACTCAAACTTGAAAACAGGCATTCTGGGGGTTGCTTGTCAGATAGGCTAGGGACCCCCATCCTCACCTCGCCCCCCCCCCGCCCCAAGACTGGATGGGTGAAAGCTGTTTCCCCTCCCCCTCCTCAGAGCACTAATGTGGATCGATGATGTCATACCTGTTTACTGCGGGGGTAAACAATGAAATGAACTTTGTTGGAACCGAACCCTCCCTTTGAGCTCAGATGATGTGTGATTAGAGGAGGGCACCTCAACAGGTCGCATTTTGGAAAAGCCCGCCTGCATCCTTTTTTTGTGTGTCCCTCATTTCTGTTCAGGAGGGTGCTGGGGATCCTCAGCATCCTGGTGTCAGATGCTGGTGTCAGAACAGATGTGATTGTTTGTCACCGAGCACGCGGAACAAAAGCATCCGAGGGGCGGTGAAGCTCCGGTCCGGCTCACCCTGCAGTCACCGACATCATCTCTATGGAAAGTAGAGAGCGTGCAAACGTCCCCGCGCAGGCAGCAAACGGCCTGGCTCCTGCGCCGCCGCCGCTGCTGTTGACCGTGGCGGCCTCTCCGCCGACACAGCAGCCTAGTCTACGCTTGCTACGTAGGCACCAGCCCGCCCAGCCATCGTCCAGAGTCCTACTGTGTGCCAGGCGCTGGGCCGGGTACCCAAGCCTCCCACAGGGCAGAGCTCCTCTTTCCCCCGCCTCCGGCGGGTGCGGTTGGAGGAGAAATTCACTCCCCAAAGGTCCAGAAAGCTCAAACCCAGAACCGTGCGATCCACACGGCCGGAGGCGCCCAGGTCCGGGCGGCCCGGGAGCGCGCGTCTCCGCGGCCGCGCGGGGTCCCCCGTCTGGCGCTCAGGTGGCTTTCGCCGCCCACTCGGCCGCTCCCCTCCCCTCCCCGCCTCCCCTCCCCGGCGAGGGTCGGAGTCGGCTGTTGCGCGCGGGGAGGAAGGAGGGGCTACGAGGGATTTGAAAGTGCTGGGGCTGCTCAGCCGAGCTCGCGTCTGTCCCCGCCGCCCGCGAGCGGATTAAATTTCTGCAAATTCAAACTGAATGGGGCTTTCTTCCGCCGCCTTCCAGAGGGCGCCTGCAGCCCGCCGCGCGCTCCTCTCCGGCGGGAGCGGCCCCGGCGCGCACCGCTGACGACCCGGCGGCGCCCGGGTTGGGGGACCCGCCGCCCGACAGCGCTGCCCCGGGACTGGCAGCCGCTGCCCCACGCGAGCCGAGCAGGGCACCGGACGGGGCCGCGGACGCGGTCTGGCCGAGCGATCCTCCAGGGACCAACTTCTCGGGGGCGGGTCCCGGGCGCCCCGTCGCCAGCTATTGTCTGCGCGCCGCGCTCGCTCGCTCGCTCTCTCGCTCGGCGGCGGCGGGGGGCGCGAGCGCGGAGACCCGAGCCGGGCGGGGCCGGGCCCAGGGCGGCGGCGGGAGGAGCCGGGACGGCTCGGGGAGCGGGAGGAGGAGCGGCGGCCGTGAGCGCGGGAGCCGGGCGGCGCGATGCCGGCGGCAGCGGGGGACGGGCTCCTGGGCGAGCCGGCGGCCCCGGGGGGCGACGGAGGCGCGGAGGACGCGGCCAGGCCGGCGGCGGCCTGCGAGGGAAGTTTCCTGCCCGCCTGGGTGAGCGGCGTGTCCCGCGAGCGGCTCCGCGACTTCCAGCACCACAAGCGCGTGGGCAACTACCTCATCGGCAGCAGGAAGCTGGGCGAGGGCTCCTTCGCCAAGGTGCGCGAGGGGCTGCACGTGCTGACCGGAGAGAAGGTGAGCCTGGCGGGCTGGCGGGAGGACCCGGGAGCACTGTCCCGTGAGCACTCCGCCTGCCCTTCCGACCCAGTGGAGCTAGACGCACGCTCGGGGGCTCGCACTTGGCCACCAGGCTCAGGCGCCCACCGATGGGCGGGGGGGGGGGTCCACGTTCGTGGCGTAGGCGACCCGGACAGACAGATGCACCCGCGAAGCTACCCCACACTGCCTCTCTGTTTTGTTTTGGAAGGGTGCCGCCTGGCGGACGCCAGAGAAGGGGCGTGTGGAGGGGGTCCGTGGAGGTGGCTTTGGAGGGTCCTGCGGTCGGGGCACAGGCGGGAACGAGGTCCAGACTGGGGTTCAGCCCAGCTCTGGGGACGCGCGGCGGGAGAGCAGGGTAGCCAGTGCCTGAGGTTGCTTAGAGTTTCGTCCCCCACCCCCGGGGCTCTGGCAAGGACGGCGGAGGAGAGCTGAGGGTCCCCGTGAAGCTACCCTCTCCACCCGCGTGGGCTGGGGCAGCTGTCGAGTTGCAGTGAAGACCTGCATTCGGCAGGTGCGGAACTACACAGATAGGCCCTGGACACCAGAAGTTTGGAGACAGCCTCTCATCTTTCTCCAAGACAGTGAAGGAAAGGAGCCCCTCCCCCACGCCGGGAGGGCCACTGCCCCGACCTAATTAGAAGTTAGAGTGTGAACTCTTGCCAGGCCAGGTGCGGGCAGAGCTCAGGCGGTAACTTAGGTTTGTGAGAAGAAACCCAAGAGGCTGGCTTACTTTTGAGACCGGGTAAGCAGTGCTCGGGACTGCCACGCTGGTATCTGTGCATAGACACATACTTTGTAATACTTACCCCCAGGCGGGGGGGTTGCTCACTCGGGACGGGGAGGGGGACGAACGGGGTCCTAGCAACAAATAGCCCAAGGGCCCTTGTGCTTGCTGCTCTAGGTCCCTCCCCCACCTCCCGCCTAAGAGTTTGTGACAGTGATCAATTGTAAGAGCCCCGGTGACAGGGCCACGCCGCCGCGCTGGCCTTTCCGTAGCCTCCTGGTACCTCGGTTTCTGTTGTCCTGGAGACCCCTACATTTGAGCACCGGGTTCCAGCACCCTCAGAACTCATACTCTCTTTTCTGTAGTCGTTCCAAGGGGCGGGGGGAGCCCCTTTTTACTGAGCCATTTTCAAAAGTGCCTCTTGCCTGAATTGCTAGCGTTCAGAATGAACAAATCACTTCAGCTCTTCAAAGAAGAACGAATTCTTCCGAGGAGGCGCTAGCCGTTCTGACCAGAGTAAGGGAAAGTTTATTTACTCTTTGGTGTGCAGTGGGCTGCCTGCCTGACACACGGAGGTCCATCAGGGTGCTGGGCTGCTGGCCGTCTCAGTGGGTCACTTCTGTTCTGGTGGGGAGAGAAGGACCTTGTTTGCATGTGTAACCCAGAGGACTCAGCCTGGCCATGCACCTCTCTACAGAGGTGAGCCTTCGTGTTAGCCTTACTGCGGCTTCCTTCTGCCCTATTGGTCAGAGCTCCTTAGAGCTTCTTGCCTCGTTGGGCTGGAGCTCAGCTCCTCACTGGGACACTTTTGCCCCATGGCATAACACTTTTGGCCTTGGCTGAACTGCCTGGGGGTGTATTCAGAGTCCAGCCCTCTGCCCCTGTCCACCAACATTCCAGTTCTGGATGCCTCTGCTACTCCTGCCCAACGGGATACGGGATACTTTGGAATAAATACAAGGAATTTCTGCCCAATTGCAGTCCAGATGAAGACTCCCCTTTCCTCCTGTCTTTATGATGGCTCAATTCATCTTTATAATGAGAGGAGATATTTGTTGGATATAAAATTATTTCCCTGGACCAATTGACCTGATTTAAAGACCCTAGTCCTCCATGCAGAAGCAGAGGCCAGGGAGGGATGCTAAGGTTGCAAGCCTTGGTCTTTCCTGCTGTGCTTTTCTTTAGCCAGGAGGATCCCTGCTAGCTAGGGATCAGGAGGCACCTGGATTTTAGCATCTTCAATTGTGAGCTTTAAAGAAACAGTGGTGCCATTCATAGCTTTTATCTCTCTAACCCTACACCTTTAATGCTTAACTAATAGATGTGGGCTTTGGCAGATTGTAGAGATGAGAAAGAGAGGAGGGAGGGGGAGAAGGAGAGCGAGGGAGAGGAGAACTATTATTAGTGAGTTAGTGAGTCCCCAGCCCTCCTTTGTTTTAGGTATTGCCTTATTAAGCAAAGCCAAAGGAAAAGGGAGGGCTACCTCAAGCCATTTGCACACTAAAGTGCAGGCCAGGGCACTCCCCCTGGGGGCTGGGGAGGCAGACTTGTGGAAACCTGCCTCCAGGCATGTCCCATTACACCTCTTCTGAGGGTACATACATTTAATTAAAGCATTTCACCTTTTCCTTTCATTTTTTAGTGGGTACAGATTTTCTTTTTCAGGATGAAGTGGTGACTCCCATAGTGAGAGCCAAGCATGTCCTCCCTGACGCACTGTGGCTGGAAGGAGCCAGAATAGGTTATCTTGGAAGAGAGGATGGAGGGAAGACACCACCTCAAATTCCTTCTGGTTCAGAGCCCCTCTTACCAAAGCATGCATTTTATTCTGGTTGATTTGTGGCTAAATCCAGACGCTTGCTGGTTGCAGGCATTTGCTGCAGTGTGGGTGGTGGTGGCGGTGGCAGTGGGTTGGCAAGGTGCACATTTCCAAAGTGCTTTGGATGACAGCCTTCAGGGGTTGCTGGGAATTCCCGGCGGAGTCCAGATGACAAACAAGTTCTCCTTCCCCCACTTTTGTTCTGGGCTCGGTCCTGTCTCATCAGAGGCTCCTGTTGCTGCTGCGACCTGCAGGGCAGGTCAGTGCTTTACCTCAGTGGTCTCAGAGGTTGGCTTGGAAGCTATCTGAATCTAGATGGCCCCTTTACTGCTGAGCGCAAAGGACAGTTTAGGGCTGACACCTAATTTGCTTTCCTCTGGCTTTCAATCGAAGACAGTGTCTGTCCATTTGGCTTTATGAAGATAAATATTCACTGGATCCTGTGAGATTTTTAATTACTGTGTCTCAGTCATGTCTGAAGTGATATTTGGACCAGGAGACATCATCTGCTAGCTTCTGAGAAGTGTTACTCATTGTGGCTGCCACAAAGTTGCCGAGCAGGAGTAGAGGCCAGGGACCAGGACAGCTTGGGGGTGTAGGGGACTGGACTTGCTACCTCAAAGTGGTTCTTGACAGGTGAGAAACACTCGTGCTTGGCCCTCGAGAAGTCGCTGTCAGGTTTAACGCTTGATGAAAACAGCTGAAATGGCCAATGGTTACAGGTGTCTGCTGGCAAGCCTGATGACCCAAGTTTCATCCCTTACCCGCACCCTCCTGGTAGAAGACTCCCGGAAGTTTTCCCTTAAGACCCAGGCTTCCACAAGTGCACTGTGCTAGGCACCCTCCATCCCCACCAGTAAATGTAATAACATTAAAGATATCTACGAACACGGCAAAGCAGCGTGGAGGAGGAAAGTCTAAACATCCCAAGCACAGCTAGCTGGCTTGGGAGGCCAATGATCAGCAGGGCAAACAGCGGTGCTACCTTCACCGCTGAAGGGTAGGGGGGCCAAGGTGGGTACCTTAAACAGTGAAGGGACTCAAACAGCTCACTCTAACCTTTGATTTTCATTTAAGAAGCCCGTTCATACATTTCATTAGAGCTATTTTGAGTAAAAAAAAACAAAACCCAAGGACTGCCTGCTTAGTAAATTGCAAGTCATCACACGCAGGGCGCAGTGGTACAGATACCTGGAGTGAAGAAGTTACTAAAATTACCCTTTACTATGTTTTGCGGAGCAGGAAATATGACTAATTTTGGAGGTGGCCTTTTGGCAGATCTGTTTTTAGCAAGTATTTCTGAAACAAGCAGGTGCTAAGTCCTGCCTTTCTTTTTAAGAGAGAGAGATTTTGGGAGCAACGGCTCTGAGGCACAAGACGTGCACGGAGAACTTGAGTTCCTATTAGCCTTCAGGAGGGGTTCCTTGGCAAGAAGGAAGCATTTGCAGAGGCACCTGCCCCGTGTGTCCTGGTGACGAGGCAGTGCCTATAATTTCCTGGATTACAGGTGGTGCGGTTGTGGGCACGCTCTTTTGAACTTCCTGCCTTGCCTCATCTTTTCTGAAGTGCTTGGGGGATGATGGAAATTGGCATGTACGGCTTGAAACAGCGCCAAAGGACTTCAAAGGATGCTGTGAGTCAGCATTGCCATGCAGAACGGTACCCGAGTGGAGGAGCACACCTTGCATTTTCTCGGCAGGTGTGGAGGCCTGGCTGTACTTACTGATGTGACTCAGGTCTGTGGGCCCACCCATGTCTGCCCATTGCTGGCTATTCCAAAGAAGAGGCAATCATCCAGAGCACCCATGATCTTCTCAGCAGGGTAGGGAGTGGCAGCCACATACATCTGAAGAAAGGGGCAGGTTGGCTTGATGGCTTGGGCACGAAGTGGTTTTTGTACTGGAGTTTTCTGGCCCTCTGTGTTATTTGTAAGTGAGAAAACTTGCTGCCTTGCCCAGCTGCACCCCAGTCAGTGGTCCTTATCTCACTGGTTGAGGTTTCTTTTTGAGATAGGGTCTCACAGGCTGCCTTTGGAGTTGCTACGTCATTGGGAAAGTGACCTTGAGCTGCCTGGTCTCCTGCCGCCACCACCAGAGTACTGGAATTAGGGTGTCTGCCACCGTGTCCTGTTTTTCACTGATGGGGAATGTCTTAGTTCCATTGTTGTGAATAGACACCATGACCAAGGCAACTTGTGAAATAAAGCACTTAATGGAGGCCTTGTTTACTGTTTCAGAGGGTGAGTCTGTAACCATCATGGCGGGGATCATGGGAGCATGCAGGCAGGCGTGGTGCCGGGGCGGTAGCTGAGAGCTGACGTAGGATCTATAAGCAGGAGGAACAGAATTGAGACCAGGCTTTTGAAGCCCACCCCTAGTGACACCTCACAGACAAGGCCACGTCTCTTACTCCTTCCCAAACAGTTTTACCAAC